AACTTTGGTTTTGCTGTGGATTCCATTTTCTAAAGCTGCCACACAAACAGTAAATAAAATTCATTGTATTTCTGTCCCACTAAGCAGCTCTGTCGTCTGGCACATCCAGATGCCTGACTTGAAAAGAGTGAACAACGAAAACAACGTTTTCTTGAGCAGACATTCCAAAAGAGGCACAACAAAGGCATCTGAAGACACTGCTGGAGGAAGACCCCATGCAAACAGCTGTGTGTATTCTGTGTAAGTAATTCCTGCACCAGCCACACGGGGTTCATTGGATTACAAATATTCAGAAAATCAGTTTGCTGTGCCATGTCAATTTTGAAAGAATGATTTTCATTTATATTTGTGATAAACTGAGCTTTAAATTGAAGGATAGTTCAGACGTTTTAAAATTCGTGAGTTTGAAAATCCATATACATGACCAATTAAGGTTTATTGCCACCACAGATTAACTATCTTTGGGTAAAATTTTCAGAGGTTATTTGTATCTATGTTGTTCACCTCAATGTATTACATCAAAAACTGGTATAACATATTTAAAGGCAAGCATATTTCAAAATAAAAGTACAGTGACCCAAGATGAAATGGAAACACTGCAGGAACATCGTAAGCAACAATACTTTTGCCTTATGTAACACCTGGACTTTTGCTGAAAGCTAATTCAACATGAAAAAAAATTCCAAAACAAACACAGCCCAATAGATGGGAAGCAAAGGGTGAAATGCACTGCTCAGTGGACCACCCAATCTTACAACCTTGCAAGCCAGGCCAAGTTCCACAAGGGAAATGCAGGCCCTGAATTTTAAAAAGAATTCAATTAGCATCCCCAGTATTTCCATAATCAACAGCTGAATGCTAATTAAGAGCACAGCACCAAGCAGCAATGGAATCCCAGTGCAATAAGCAACAAGACAACAGCAGCATTTGCTACCTTCAGCTTGCATGCATAAATAAACAGAATTAATAACTATCTGAGCATGGAAGGGTGACTTAATCCATTTCGATTAGGTGCAGTTCAGCCTGGGGCCTTTGTGTTATATTTAAATGTGTTCATCATGTTTAGTTAAAAGCCTAATAATCGAGTGTTTCAGGTTTTTTTAAAGTTCAGATCTGTGTTTTTGTCCTTCTCTTCATAAGTTCTACTGATTTTGAAGGCTTCCTGAAAAGGAACAGTATTTTTAGCATAATGTAAGTGAAACTGGTTAACCATCAATATGACTCTCAAATGCAGCAGCCAGCATTCACTTTGGCTCCATCCTGGCCCACACCAACGGTACTTAATAAACTTCATGAACTGACCTAGCATTTCTTCAAAAATGCTTCTCTAATCTGACCCAGTTTATTTAGCGTGAAAGACTGCCATGAGCTAGCTACCACGGTGTTTCTCAGTCACTCTACCAATGTAGAGTTCAGGTGTCACTATCTGGCCTAGGATTTGACAGAAACTGGCACGAATCTGCCTTAGTCGAACAAGATTTGAAGCATCTAGGCCCCCAAGCAACTTCAGAAGGATGCATCATATCTATACACACAGACACTGTCATAGGAATTACTGAAAGTGTGAAACAAAAGGCCTCCCACTGTGCAATTTTGAGGCCTAAAGTCTCAAAAATTAGTAAATGTCTGAAAGATCTGAGAAGCAGAGGTTAGTGATAGTATCAGTAACATTAACTTGGGAACATCTTCCAAAAGTAAAACTTTTAAGGTCAGCTTTGGATGCGAGTAAAAGTTTTGCTCTTTCATGTTGATGCATAATTATTAACTATTACATCTTCAGTGAAGCGTTATCAATGTTCCTCACGCCCCTCACAGGCAGAGACGTTCTTCTCTCCCGGACATGATTCCCACCATGAATAAACTTCCCCTCTTAATTTTACAAATCAGGAGGGTAATCGACTCAGAAATAAAGGCTGGGGAACAAGAGCTGGTGATGATGACTCAAACTTAGCATGAGGAGCTAAGGAGTAGGTACCAATAAATGATCCAAAGAGGAGATGAAGCTCAGAGAGGGACAGTCACCATGGGATAAGGACAAGTGCTCTAAGCCTTGGAGAAGGTTAGGGCCTGGACTGGCAAGGGAGAAATCAGCCCGCTCCATAACAGTGGCCCAGAGGAATCAGAAGTACATGAGATGCCCGTTCGCGGACCAGCCGAGGATTCACACATCAGGTGCTCATCCTACCAACCCTCTCAGTGTTCAATTCAGATAAATGCAAAGGAAAACACTGATGTTGCTGTAGTCAGATCAAACGCAGGTACTGGAGGCAATGAAGTTTAAACATAACTAGAATGTCCAAGTACATAAAAAAACTGAGAGGGAAAAAAAGGTGAGGAAGGCCTATATACTTATTTTAGTAGGAACACATTTGTTTAGCTTATTCCTGTGCTTCCCAGATCAGAAAATGTAAATTCAACAGAAGGTGGCCACACGCGCACACACACACACAGGTGTTTTCTCACAGTCTAAACCAAACTAAGCTCAAGAGTCCTGTCAGTTCATGTGCCTACTGCCACATGACAGTATTCAAAGATTTGATCTGGTACTTTCATCAAAAGATTCCCTCAGTCTATCAATTATTTAATCACTCTCATTCATTCTTGAGGTTTTAGAAAGTGAAGCTGAACTTCGTACAGATAAGGACAATACGCTATCCCAGGCCCCGCAGGACTGAATAATGACCAAAACTTCCCCGGACACATTATCCTGTGCTTGGAAATGTGCAGTCTGGACTCCTGTTTCATTTTTTAAAATAAAGCTTGACTTTTTCCAATGTGTGAGACTCTCCCCTTCTCATCCCACTCTCTGCTCAAAGTCCCCAAGCAGCAACTGTGAGGACATAGTCCATATCATGCCCCACATAAGCAGGTGCTGTAGAAAAAGGGAGCCAGCTTTCTTTAAAGCAGTAAGAGCTTTCTTTTAAGTTGGAATTTTAAAATTCCAAAGGGAATGAAGGTCAAGGCAGAAATTAGGAGGAGAGGGTCATGGCTAGTGAGGAGCTGGGGAGGCATGAGTGAAAAAGGAGGAACAGGAAGGCGGAAGAGAGAAGAGACCCGAAAGGAAGGAGGGAGAAGCTCAAGAACTGAGGGAGAGTAAGGACGAGAAGCCATTATCGTGGTACATGTGTAATGACAAGGATGTGCAGACTGGTCACATTCTACACATTCATTCCACCCTTTTCATCTCCTTATGTCTTTCTTCTACAAAGGCCTGGAGAATTTTAAATTTTTATCAAGCAAATGTCTTATCTTCTCACATAAGTAGGTCTATAGTAAAGAACAACATCAAATGACTTTTCAAAACAGGTGAGTTTAACATCTTTACTTTGGTCACTGTCTGAACAATCACAGATGTTTAAGATGTTTCCATCCCCTTTGTAATCATGTAAGGTTTTTAAAGTCTTAACTTCAAACAGCACCACCAACTGCATGTAAAGTCTGATAAACTAGATAAACTCAGAGTCTTAAAGGATTACTATTACCCTTCAAGGGCCATGGCAGTCCATCCCTGCTGTGCCCTAGATTTTCCCACTCCTCCCAACATGAACTCTCACGCCCTCCCTTCAGTATATATACCCATGATCTCACCACTGCCCACTGCCACTGCTGCTGCACTAACAATTCCCAGTCTTGGACCTGGACTCCCACACAGCCTCCAAAGCCCACTCTCCACTCAGCACAGTGTATCCACTGGCAGACTGAGCCACCCCTCTGCTCAGACTCTACAGAGCAAATAGCAAGGTGCTGCTCATAGGTCCACTGGCCACATCTGCTTTGTCCTAGCAGGACCCCCTCCTGACAGGGTGTTCCCACTTAGTTCTCGAACATGCCAGGTGTGCTTTATTTCCCATTAGGGCCCAGAATTCTGTTCCCCCTGATATCCAAAAGACTCAACTTCTTACTCCACTAAAGTCTCTGCTCAAGTGGTACTTCCCAGGCCTTTCTAAGCCCCTTACAAAAGACAGCAAACACCCCTCTCCAGTTGATCCCTGACCTCCAGACCCTGTTCTGTTCTCCTCAGTATGTGTGCCTCCACTTGACCTATACTGACTTGCAGGTGATCTCCCTCTTAAAGTATAAGCCTTATGAGGAGGGACCTTGTGTTCTTGATATCGCTCCTGGCACATTATGAGCACTCAATAAATATTGCTGAGAAAATGAAGGAGCAGGAGCGGGAAAGCACATAAAATTTCTAAGCACTCTTTCTTAGCATATTTCAAAATATAGGTGAAGAACTTACAATCAATATGTGTCTCAGTGCCAGCCTTCATCTTAATTTCATTCAACCTAAACGGCAAATGCCATGTGGTAACACTTATATTTGCAAAGCACAAGAAATCTCTAAGTTTTTCTAGCAATACCTTTTACAAGTCACAAGATGGGGATGTGGCTTCATGAGAACTCTGCCAAGATAGGAATCTGTGGGTTTGCAAATGTCTATTTGTGGGCACATTTCTATCTCCCCACCTTCTTTAATGGACCATAGTAACAGGATGCACATGGAAGATGTATTTATAAATAAATGTATTTATTTGAGTAAGTCTATGCTTCCTGCTTTTGACTAATGTCCTTCAGCAGGTTAGGGATCCTGCCAGCCCTCAAGATAAAAAAAAAGTCACCTGTCCTACTCTAGGTTTGTATCAACTGGTTTTAACATGTTTGTGTTTGAAAACAGGGAAGTGTCAAACACTAGCTTGCACCAAACACCAACCAATAAACCACAATGAACTTTTTTAAAGAGTACTTATCAATTTTTTCTCTCTTTCCATGAAAGCTGAGACAACCTTTATATGTGGATCCTAAGCTTCCTAAAATCAAGCTTTGCTGTACAACCCTTAAGCTTAAAGACTCTTTCCCTTGCCTGATGGATGCCATGGCTAATCTGTACACATGACTGGTTCTTTGGAATGAGCCCCTTTCCCCCGAGTAGCAGGAGGTCACACATTGAGAAGTAAACACCCAATGACCCAACCACAAGGCACACTCCTGCCCAAGCTCACCACTTCATCCTCGGTCCAGCACTTTTCGATCAGCTTAGGCACAGGCTTCTTAACGAGGCGCTGCAGGGCTTTGCCAGCATCATAACCGCTTTCATGTAGCTAAAACAACAACAATTTTAGTTAGTTAATTGCACCAAATAACACAACTGGAAGCAAATCAATAAAGGGAAGCCCTGCATTTACTCTAACAGAAGGATTGTTACTGTTACTGAGTTTTCACACAAACTCACAATCATTTTAGTCAGCATGATAATTTGTTCTTATCCAACCACCCTCCCAGTTCCAGTTGTTCTGAGAGAGGAAGACAGGTAAGGCAGATCTAACTTTTTGGCAATAATAGAAATAGAATTAAGGACAACAATAACATTTACTGAACAGCTGGCCTGGCACAGTGTTAAGCACATTCCATGTACTCATTATTTTTCTTAATCCTACAAAGAAGGTATTCTCTCATTTAATCTAATGGAGTAGGCACTATTATCACCCCATTTTAAAGATGAGGACACTAAGGTAAAGAAAGGTCAAGTAAAGGTGCTCACCACACTAAGCCGACAGGCAATGGAGCCAAGACTCAAACCCAGCCAATGATCCCTAGTCTGTCCCATTCTGCCCAAAGCAGCCTAATGACACACTAAATTATGCACTTTCCCATTAGCATTTCTTAAGCCTTTCAACTGTAGTAATTTCACTAAAAAAATAAAATAAAAAAATTTTCAAGTACCTAAAACAGAAGAGCTCTTTAAAGAAACAAGTAATTCTGTAATGGTATACTAACATTTGAGTACATATGAATGAAGATGCTAGTTTACCTACACAGTCTAATGAACTTTTCTCACTCCACATCCTTTTCAACCCCAGGCAGTGCCTCTGTCTCTGGCAAAGACACTCCTGCTTGATTCCTGTGAGCACCCCACTCCTAGTCCCAACTTGCAGACAGTAGAGAGAAGTAGCAGGCAGAAAGGTCTTTGGGGCTCAATCTACATTTCTAAACTGTGGCCATCCCTCCAAAATTCTCACTGGTGATCTGCCTTTCCCTCTCAAATCTAATTCTCTGATACAAGAATCTGTTTTGGGAATATAATGAACATAACAGTCTGAGGAATGGGGTAGTCCCAGAGACGTGGAAGTGGGGTACAGACTGATAATCCCCAGAAGAGGGGGTGGCGGGGGAGAGATAAACCACAGAACTTATATGCATGTATACATGAACAATGGACATGGACAACAAAGCTGGGGACAGGGCAGGGAGGGAGGAGGAGGGGGGAATCAGTGGGGGGAAAAGGAGAAACATCTATAACAAAAATAAATTAATTAAAAAAAAAAGAAAAAAGAATCTGTTTTGGCTAAGACTTGTATCTCTGGTGCCTAACATGGTCCGTAGCATAAGGTGATCCAACAAAAGAAACACCTGTTAAACTAATTAATAAATGCCTTTGACTAAGGTCCCTAGGTAGCCTCAACCCAAATTTAAATCTCCATTTATTTGAATTCATTCAGCCTTATGCTGACTAAGAGCTGTTACATCCCAGTCACTGTACTAGACCCTGGGATACAGCAGTCAGCAGAACAGGCAGAGGCATCCATGCCTCATGGAGTGAGCATTCTGATCTTTTCACCTGGGCTTCAACCCCTTATTTGAACAAGTCACTAGTATTTGCTGAACATTCAGAACAAATAAGGCACAATCCTTATTAGGTCACAGTTTTTGTTTCTAGAAAATTCACGAACTAGTAGGACTGTGTTATGAGGATGCAACATATACAAGGTGACAAGATAAAGTAGGTTGTAGTAATTACTACCACCAAGGTACAGGCAAAGAGCTGCGGACTCACAAGAGGAGAGAGCCCTGTGTTTCTTCTCTTTAGTAGAAGAGTCATAAGAAGGATGTATAGATTGCCTTCCTAGCAACTGCTGCAGCACCAGAGCTGGGTATAAAGCCTGTGACAAATGTTTGTTGAACGAAATAGATATTTGAAACATACACAGCGAATCTCCCTTCTAACTATTAAACTACTATTAGAAGGGATATCACAAATACCCACGTTCATTGCTCATTCATCAAACTGAATGTACTATAAATTAAAATGTCCTGGGTATTCTCACAGTTTAGAGGACCCCAATTTATATTACTGTCCAAGGAAGTCGAGGCTATCTATTAATTATAACAATAAGTCAACTACCTTAAACCAAGACAAAGCAACGATCAATGCTGGATTCGGTGGTGATTCAGTGTGGAGCAGAGGGGGTACAATTATATGAATACTAGATATTATCTTATGTATTCTTATGACATTTAGCATTAGACTATTTTTAAAATAAAATACTATAAATACGATACTAAATAAACTAAATACTAAAAATACTGTATTTTGCAAATGCTTGAAAATTATCTGCTATCTAGTCTTCTTTCAGAAGTATAAAAATAAGGTTAGATTTTCTTTTTCTTTTTTTTATCCTCACCTGAGGACATTTTCCCATTTTTTGTTCAGATACAGTGGGGAAGAGAGAGAGAGGGAGGGAGGGAGGGAGGGAGGGAGGGAGGGAGGGAGGAAGAGAGAGAGAGAGAGAGAGAGAGAGAGAGAGAGAGAGAGAGAGAAAGAAACATCAATGTGAAAGAGACACATTGAGTGGCTGCCACCCGCACGACCAACCAGGGCTGGGGACAAACTGCAACCAAGGTACGTGCCCTTAGCGGGAACCGAACCCGGGTCTCTCTGGACCACAGAGCCAAACCGACCAGGGCTAAAGTTAGATTTTCATACGTTGCCTAATATCCAGAATAAGCAGGTATTTGAAAAATTCTATACTATAATGAGGATCCATACTAAGAGCTAACAAACCTTAATTGGAACTAAATAAAAGGAAAAATTGCATGCCTACTTAATTTTTTTAAAAGCACACATTTAGTAATAATTTGAAATCAATTCAAGTTGATCAAATGATGAATTCTTCATAAAAAGGTCATGGTAAACTAACAACATTTTACAAAAGGTAATTATAGTATATGGGTTAATTACAGGGAGAGGTGAAAAATGGTGGACTTTGGAGCCAGAATATGGACTCAAAATTCTGGCTCTACTGCTTACTAGGTGTGTAACTTCAGCAAGTTACTTACCCTCTTTGGGCCACAATTTTGTCACCTTTAAAAATGAGTATAATAATAACATCTAGATCTCAGGCCTTCTGTGAGCATAGCATTAGAAAATACACGTAAATTGCTTAGGGATTGTACCTGGCACAGAGTATGCCACATATTTTTAAAAGGAAAGAGAAAAAATAAAGAAAGCAGTCTCATATCAATTTTCATCAATTTTCTAGATTTAGAGAGTAGCCTTTTCAGACACAGAAAAAGAATTGTTAAAAACTATAAATAAAAACCACTTACGTGTAACATAATTACTCATATTAGTAATTTATGAAATTTTATTAAAACTCTGGTTCAGCCCTGGCCGGTTTGGCTCAGCAGTTAGAGAGCCAGCCTGTGGTCTAGAGAGACCCGGGTTCGGTTCCCACTAAGGGCACGTATCTCGGTTGCAGTTTGTCCCCGGCCCTGGTTGGGTCGTGTGGGTGGCGACCACTCGATGTGTCCCTTTCATGTCGATGTTTCTCTCTCTCTTTCTCGCTCCCACTCTATCTGAACAAAATATCGAAAAACGTCTTGGGTGAGGATAAAAAACAAAACAAAAAACTCTGGTTCAGTATGGCTATTAATAGGAAATTACTCATAAGAACATAAAGGCCATTCCAAAAGTGAACAAGTGATTGAAGTTAAATCCAATGTCCTTACTCCCTGTGACATCCCTGCCTTTTGGTGAACCAAGAGGAACCGTATGTGATAGCTGGAAGAGATGTTCTGAATAACTTACTGAACTTGTGTTTGTGGTGGTCTGGTTTCTCAGAGAGGCTGACCACTGCTTGCATGACACTCTTCAGTTCAATTTCTAGTGAGCTGCTTACTGGAGAAAGAGGCATGCCCCTAAACACAGCCCAGCACTCGCACCTTCTTTACAAATCTTGATTTGAGATCACACTTCCCTTGAAGAAACTGCTGCAATTTCCGAGGTAACCCGAGCTTCTTTCCACTACTCTGTGTTCTGAATTGTGGTAACCCCCCCTTTCATTTGCTCTACTGTCAGCCTGTCCTATTAAAATATTCCGATTCCTAAAGCCCAAGTGTCCATCAATAGATGAATGGATAAAAAAGCTGTGGTACATTTACATAATGGAACACTATGCAGCTGTAAGAAAGAGAGATCTCTTCTCCTTTGAGACGACATGGAGGGACCTGGAGAGTACTATGCTAAGTTAAATAAGCCAGTCAGAGAAAGACACATATCATATGACCTCACTTATTTGTGGAATATAATGAACAAAATAGAGGCAGAGATATAGAAGTAGAGAACAAAACCTCAGAAGAGGGGGGGCGGGGGAAGGGAAGAGATAAACCAAACAACTTATATGCACATATGCACAACCAATGGTCACAGACAACAATGCTGTGAGGGGAGAGGGAGAGAGGGGGGAGTTTGGGAGGAGGGTGTCAATGGGGGAAAAAAGGAGAAACACCTGTAACAAAAGTAAGTTAATTAAAAAATAAATAAGTAAAAGTGAATTTAAGAAACATTTAAATGGTTGTAGCACACATTTTTAAGTTTTCAAAACATGTGAAATATATTCAAACATAGTCATAATTTAAAAATAAATATAAATATTTCAATTCCTGAAAATATTATATTCCATAGAATAAAACTAATAAATATGTAGAGAGTCTCTCTCCCACCTCTATACTAATACACATTTGAAAAGTAAAAAGATTATTTACCAATAGTAAGAAAATCTTTATGAAACAAACAAAGGTAGTACATTCCTGTCAGCAATCATGCAGATAGGCCAGCACAAAAGCTTGGTCAAGGGGCTGTTCTAGCATACCCTCTTCCTAGGGACCCAAAAAGAACCTTTCTAAATAGCCACCCTCTTCTTTAAATTATATATATAAAATCTTCACCCAAGGATATGTTTATTGATTTTAGAGAGAGGGAGGGAGGGAAGAAGAGAGGGAGGAGGCAATTGGTTGCCTCCCATTAGCACCTCAATCAAGG